TTCACCCTATTTCGCTGCACTAGTATCAGAAATCTCATAGACGCAAACGCAAACGCAAACGGAATCCCGACGTCAAGTTTATAAATTGAGCTTAACTCGAGTTAAAATCAACCTGGAAGTGACTTTCTATTGAGAAACCGACCCTAAGAAGTTTCACTTTTTGATTTGACTTATGATTTCTTTTATTCTTTTATAAAAACTTTCCGATTTTACCGCTTGTCGCGTGTCGCATATCTTCAATATTCATTGGTACGGCCGATCACTCCATAATATGCCAGGATTGATATCAGGTATGCCAACTCAAGATCTTGCAATCCCTGCATTGCGCTTTGTTTTGCTCAAGGTTGTTTGAAAGAAGTAGGTTACCTGATAACCTCATGACGTCATCTGGGGTGCAAAGACATAATGCAAATCTCCATAAGCGGCACCCCAGATAAGTCATCAAGTTACCCCTTACCTTGCCTTTATCTTCCTTTAATGAATAGAATTGAAAAAAGACAAAAGATATCATCTGATAATCCGGTTAATCGGATCATTGTTTCCGAAAAGGCCTATTGTATATGAAATACCTATAGAATTTTCTGCCGCATCCAGAAATGTCATAATAGGAAAACATTAATGTGGAAAGATCTCAAGCAAAAATCGACGTGTGCGAGCATTTTTCGAAAACGCCTTCATTTATTTCATATTGAATATGTTCCATACCTTAAGTTCACCCTGTATATTTAAAAAATATATATATTTCTGTCATTTCTCATTTTTTTCATCTCGTAAGCGTAGGGGCCCGGTAAAATGTTTGAACACGGGCCCGAAACATTGTGATTACGCCACTGTTCCTGCTCCACAGGTACTGCTTGATTAGCTTTATTACCGTGATTTCTAAATTTTGCAGGTTGGAAATCTATTTCCAACCTGCAAATTTCCTGCAAGGTGACTACTTGATAGAGTAGCCACAGATTCTCATGTGCGGTACGTCATTGGGTACATGTGCCCCACGCTATGCAAACATTATTATTTCTAAAAAATAAATAAATAGAAAATTTTTGATGATCACTAATTATGTGCAAAGCCCTTTCTAACACAAAATAAAATTAGTCACAAAAAATATGCACTTTTCGGGAAAATATGCTAAAAAAAAATTGTTTTCTGGGGTACATTTGTACCCCACCCGGGAAGACGAAGGGGTCATTATTCCCGCTTGCCCACCAATCACAAAATTTCTCAAATTAAATAAGTAGTACCATGGAAACAATATACCTGAACAAACTCAAAAGTGTCATTGTCAAACGCGTAGTGATTGTGTATTTGTATTGAGATGGAGGAACAAAGAGCGTTTTTGGAAATAAAATTGAAAATAAATTAATTTGTCGTAAATAAAGTAGATACTACTCGCAATAATGGCTATTATTCCCTCGGAATGTTACTCCCTCGCCGCTAACGCTACGCTAATCTACCCCCTTCAATCCGGCCGCACACTAGTTATATTTTGCTATTTTATTGTTTTTACCGTTCCAAAGAGTATTCCAAAAAAAAAGTTTGTTGGTATTACAAAGATTTTTTAAGAAGTACATATGTATCTATTCCAATTTCCAATAGACTTTAATAGGGTTGAATTTAGTTTATTTATCCCTTCGGTCGTGAAATTTCAAAGTCTAATCTATAAAGAGAGTAGTTCTGGTAGTACCTATTCTTACATAAAATATTATAAATTTTGACTTACATAGCGTAGCAAAGCTTATAATTACCTACTATTTATAATTATATTAATTTGCACTACTTATTTGGACGATTGTTAAAATTTGATTGTCGTTTCTGATTCCGTTGCCAACTTTCATGACGTATATAAATAGCACTTTACTAGTCAATCCGACATAAAAATATCAATCAATTCTGTCGTTTCGTTCATAACATTTTATTTTTGTTGAAAACAGTTTTCACATTTTCGAATTTTATTTTATTACCATCTAGGTATTTATAATTTGTTACGTTGTCGGTTGTCGGTACTGTCAAATAATTCTTCATTTGTGAATTTAATTTTGAGAGAAAGTCGTCCTCTCAAAATTAAATTCTACCAACCTCATTTTGATCAAATTTAATTTTTATTATTGTACAAACTTTCAAAAGTAACAATAATGAAATATTTTAACTTCCAATGTAAAATTTGTACAGGGTGGCCTGTTTAAGAGGGGCCTATACCTTATCTCGAAATCTACAAGGGCTGTAGAAAAAAAAATAATACAAAAACTGTTTCTGTTAAAATTATTTTGCATTGCTTTCGTTGTCACTCTACTATATACAGGGTGGACATTTTTTTTTTTTAATGGAACACCCTGTATTTTAATAAACTTTTACATAGCCTTTTGAAAGACAAATTCAACGATATACTGGACATGTGTCTATGATATACCGTTGCGAACTTATTAGCGATTATCATCAGGATTTGGGGTAATTTTCAACAGTCATTGTTACGTAACTGATAAACTTTTAAAACTTTTTTTGCATGATATTTTCTATAAATTAATGCTCTTTTTTAGATTGTATTTGAATTTGAAATATTTGTTTGAAAAACGCGGTGTTGCCACGTTTTGCAAAATGTCACGCTTTTCAATTTTTTTAAATGGGACCTCCTGTAAATTTTCGAATTTTTGGATAGCCCTTTAAAAGACAAATTTAACGATATACTGGACATGGATCTGTGATACACCGTTTCGGCCTGATTAGCGTTTATCTTCAGTTCTAACACAATATCTCATGTCATTCCCGTTGAATGGAAAAAAATGTCTAATTTTTCAGTAGACCTATTTCCAGTATATCGTTGAATTTGTCTTTATCAAAAGGGCTATCTAAAAACTCGAAAATTTGCAGGAGGTCCCATTTATAAAAAGCGTAACATTTTGCGAAACGTGGCAGCACCGCGTTTTCCAAACAAATATTTCAAATTTCATTACAGTCTGAAAAAGACCACTATTTTATAGAAAATATCATGCAAAAAAAAGTTTTAAAAGTTTATGAGTAACGTAGCAATGACTGCAAATTACCCCAAAGCCTGATGATAATCGCTAATAAGTTCAACACGCTATATCACAGACACATGACCAGTATAGTTCGCCTTACGAGTCTAGCACTACGACGTCTGAAGGGCAAGGGGGAATAACGCTATTCATTTTGAGCTTTATGCTGCCTGTCATAGGCGTGCGCGCAGCGTTTTTAAATATTGATTTTTCCTAAATGTAGGTGTGTAACATAGATAAATATTAAGGTATTTTCTATTGGAAGAAAAATCGTTGGATTTGTCTTTCAAAGAGCTATGTAAAAATATAATAAAATTTAGGGTGTTCCTTTAAAAAAAAAGGAATTTAATTGGTCCACCTTTTGTATGAGTGACAACAAAAACAATACAAAAAAATTGTAGATAATTTTATTAGAAACAACTTTTTTATTTAAGTTTTTTATACAGCCCTTGTAGATTTCGAGATAAGTTATAGGCCCCTCTTAAACGGGCCACCCTGTACTTTAGTTGATAATTTTAGAAACGCCCTCTTTAGGTAGGTACGTTCCATCTGACTTCTTTTGAGGAAAAAAATTGAAGGCTAGACTATCTACAGAATTCGATCTTCACTCTGAAAACATATATACTCTTAGACCTGAAAAAGGAACCTTCTCAATAATGTTATAAATATTTTAAATAAACGATAGGTAGCCTTTATTTTTAAAACCAAAAAAATATAGTTTTAATTAGTGTAAGGTAAGGACTTCTGCATAAAATTTAGTACAAAAGAATAAAATTTAGTACAACTATTCAAATTAACTAGTACAAATTTGTTTGGCGGACGTAGCGGATTTCACGCAACCAATGCTCCCAATTGCCTTGGGTTTCTGCGATCTGCAGTGTTGCCACGTCAGAAACGAATAAGTCGCTAATGACCGGATAAAAAGTCGCCACAGCATTTTTGAAAAATATTCATGTAGTTACTGCCAATTTTAAATGAAACAATGGGTTTTATGTGAGACAAAAAAAAAATTCTATTTTATACAAAAGTTTACAAAACAAAATGAAAAATATATCTAATTTAGAATTTATTGAAGAATAAAACAATAAGAAACTTCTATTTTTCAAAAAAATTTAATAGAAAAAGATTGGCAGAAGCCTTAATCCATGACTCCACTCGGCAAATCATTCCACCCTTTTTTCGAAAAATATCAAAATTTCCGGTCCCAGTCTTTCTTGTAGAGCAGATTAACTTAAAAAACTTTCACATTTAGACTATAGGTATTCTTTTATAATAAATAATTTTAAGAATGTACGGTACGACAAAATATTTTTGAATGCAAAGGCCTCAGCCTACTAAACTCCAAGAACGGTTACTTTTTGCTAATATAATATACCTAATCAACTTCGTATCATTTACCGGTCTTGTTAGTGACGCATAGTTTTTGGGACATTCTGTATATCTGCGAACGATACTAGAGCGTCAACAGACAGACAGACATACGAAATTGAGAAAACATGATTTTCGTAATAGTAAGGACCTGAAAACGTACCTATAAATGTGAAAAAATCTTGAGGTTGATTTTTTACGGGAATACAATACCTATGTATGTATTTCCTTTACTACAGGGAGAAGTAAAAATAAATAAAATAATTTAATTTTAATCGTTTTCACTAGTACCCAGAGCTGTCAGAAGAAAGTATCTTAGTTGCTAGAGTATCTTAGTTACTTTTCAAAAGGATCTGTAACTTGTATCTTAAAAAAGTATCTTAAATACCAAAAAGTATCTAAGACGCCAAAAAAGTATCTCGGATACTCAAAAGTATCTTAGATACTGAAAAGTATTTGACTAAGATACAGACTTTGGTGTTATCGTCTAGCTCTAGACAAGCAACAAGAAATCCGCACCTTAAGAGGCCTGGGTACCTCTGGCGTAATTGAGATTCGATCGCAGCGCCTTTTATAATTCACGAGTTACACTTACACACAATTTGGCAACACCGCTAGCTGCCGGCCACTTCGCCAGAGACTCCGCGATGCTCGGCTGGCTCTGTCTCAAAATATTCATGCAAAAGTTCATTGGCGCACCGTAGCCATCTTCAAATTATAGAATAACCAAGGGCGGAGAATTTATTTGGTAAATGAAAAAAATTATAAAAAAATTAACAAAATGCAATTCTTTTTTTAGGGTAGTAGCGCACCCTGGGTATACGCTAGTTCATCAATAAACTTTGTCGTTCAATTTCCAATAAAACCATTGTGGGATTTTTCGCACAGAAATGAGTGTGAAAATGTTGTCATTTTTTGACGTCTGTAAAAAAATGCTTTGCATTGGATGAGTTTGGTAACTATCCCCGTTATATGGTGTCAATAAGAAGAGCATCTCGGAACACAATTTCGTCTCATATCGGCAGGTCTTTTGGATAAAGGGGGTCTATCAATTCTGGCAAAACAAAATTTTCATAAAAGGATTTCAATTTAGGAATACATTTTTCATTCCAGAATTGCAAGTCTCGAAAAATCTATAAAAAAATAATTATTTAAATAAGTAAGTTCCACAAAAGATAATATAGCAAGATACCTCTTCTACTACCATCCCATGAGGACTCCAAACTACAAAATAACACATCTGCTTATCAGCTATTGCCAGTTGGCCCTGGATTTGGTAGTAATAGTTATGATTCCGTTTCAAGTGAAATTCATTATCCACGAATTCAGCAAATGCTAATTTTTTTTCTTTGATGGCTTCCGCTGGATTCATATTACAGATGGAATATGGACATTTTATTTCCATTAATTGGGTATCACCAATTAATCCATCCGGACTAGCCCCTAAATAATAATTTTTCTTATCTATAAACAATCTACATTGAGAAATTTTGACTTTATATTTGTCTTCAAATTCAGCAATAGCGCGTGCTTCACTATCGTTGCCGTATCTTGTGGTTGTATTACCATGAAAGTTTCCATATAGCAAAGTTTTCACTGTGGTTGCTCTTGATGTTTGTGGAAACATCTTGCAAATTTTACCAAAATTTGAAGCTGTTATCCTAACCGCCCTTTCTTGGATCCAGCAGGGGTTGGCTGACTGCCCGATCGTGTTTCTTTCTATGCAGTGGATCTCCTCTGCAGTTTTCTTAAGATTATTAAGAAAATCTTCAGCTTTTGACGTCTAAAGGGATATAATTTGCATTTGGTCCATAATCTTTGTCAGTTCCCGCTCCAATTTTTTTTTTGTTTTTTTCTTAAATATTTTTTTTTGTGTCACTTTTAATGCTATTTTTTTCTTCAATCCTACATATTTTTTTCTATAAAATGACGGACTATTACCTGTGGAAAGTGATTGGATAATATGTTATAATAAAATTTAATAATTATTTATGCAACAAGTGTGTAAAGTGAACCCTTTTTCACGAATGTGAATTTTGACGCACGAGTCGAAGGCCAGTGCGACAATCACATGAGTGAAGAAAGGTGCTTTACGCACGTATCGCATACAAAAATTTTTCTACTACCAATCAAATATGTGTAAAAAAATAGATTTGGACAAATACTTTACGCACTAGTGCGTGAAGAATTTTCACTTTACGCACTAGTGCGTGAAGTAATTTACCAGAAAAATGCCAAATTGACAGTGTTGACATCTGTCATTAACATTACTTTACGCACTAGTGTGTGAAGTGAATTACTTTAAGCACTAGTGCGTGAAGTGAAATTTTACATCTTCTGAATAGTGCGTAAAGTGAGTACCTACTTTACGTACGGTAGTAGAAAAAATAAATTTATCTCCCATTATACCTGTTGCAGTTTTATAGATGTTCCTGTAGTAATCCCCTTTAGAATTAAACGACAATGCTGCTGCCTCACATCTAGTTTGATAAGCACCCCGAAGAGAGAAGTTAACTCTTTTACCTCCGACGAACTTACAAACCACACTGTTGTAATGTTCTGCCAAATTGTTATCCATGTTCAATATAAGGCTACTCGTATTATCCAGCAATCTCTGTAAAGCCAGCATAATGTCGTCATAAATACCACATTCTTTCATAGCAGGAATTAAATTTTTTTCATTCAAATTATTACATTTGAAGTAATTTAATTCTTTGCATTTAGCATGTTCACCAAATACGTGACTAGGAGAATTACTTATATCTCCTCTCAATAAATTTATTTTTTCATCAATAGTATTATTTTCTGAGATTCGATATGCAGTGGCCTTTGTAATCGCTGTTCTTAGTCGCATAAATTTGCTAAAAATTTCTTTTCGTATAGCCATAGGAACTGCTATATTTTTATTGCTTCGGTTTTTGTCTAAAATAGAAACCTATATAAATACATATTATATTATATATTGGCAAAATATCTTTCTGATAGAGAGCAAATGGTAAAGGTGGGGAGTCAGTGCTCCAACGTGTCAAGTTTGAAATCTGGCGTCCCACAGGGTTCCGTCCTCGGACCACTCCTTTTCCTTGTATACATCAATGACTTGTCGAAAATCCTCATTCAGGGTAAATTCACACTATTCGCAGATGATGCAACAATCTTGTGGCATGGAGGAGAGGCTGATGATTTAAGGGTGGTTATCGAAAACGATTTGGGTAGGGTAAATGAGTGGTGTAGGGCAAATTCTTTATGTTTCAATATATCAAAGACTAGCATCCTAAGTTTTAAATTTGTTTGCGACAATTTAAATTTTGAAAATAGTTTTATAGAAAACAGACCTGTTGCCAGGTTTTTAGGCATGTTTATTGATGATAAACTGAATTTTAATGAACACGTACAATCTTTGAATAAGAAACTGGCGGCAGGATGTTTTGCAGTGAAGATAGTTTCCAGGGAATTGGGTTTACCCATGGCTCGAACTGTTTACTACTCACTGATCGAATCTCATTTGAGGTACGGAATAGCGTTTTGGGGGTTCTGCACCCAGCAGCTGATGAACTCAATTCTTGTTTTGCAAAAACGGGCTGTGCGTTATCTATTTAAGGTAAGAGCAAGAGAGCATTGCAAGCCATTATTTGTTGATGGAAGGATTTTGACAGTAATAGGTATCTTTATCTTGGAGACAGTGTGTCTGATACACAAAAAACACAAATACTGCTCCTCAACAAATCCTTACAATACTCGTAGCAATGGTCTTTCATTGCCTATTCCTAAGACGACACTTACCAAAAATTCAATTATATTTGAAAGTATAAAAATGTATAACCACATTCCTTTGGTATACAGAATGATGATGGATGATAAATTTTTCAAGAAAAGTGTAAAACAATTTCTCATGTCGAGGCCATATTATAGTCTCCATGAATTTTACTGTGATGACTTTTAAATAATAAGTTTTTGTCCTGAGTTTTCAGTTTTTTATTTTTTAGTTTTTAGTTTTTATTTTTATTTCAACCTGCCCTGCTCTCCACAGTTAATTAGATAATTTTGCGACTTCTGTGTGGTGGTTTTTTTTTTTTTTTTTGTATTGTTCCATTCAAAAAAAAAAAAAATATGTGTTCGATATTTGAATTTTTTTTTTATTCATGTTCTGAGTCCTGGATTGTTGTTAGTATTACTAGTATTATTATTATTATTGATTGTATGTGAATTTTATTAATTTATTGTATATTGTTTTTATATTAATATCTATTTATAGTATTCAGCTTTGTCAATAAGAGTTTATCTACTTAGACAATAAAGCATATTTTGATTTGATTTGATTTGATATCAACGCTTATAGGTCATAGATAGTAAATGGGTTCCAGATTTAATCTAATCTAAAAACTGTAGGTATAAGTACATACTGCATATTTCCCTAATTTTCTTAGCAAAATTCCGCAATAAATGATTTTTGCATTCAACTTTTTGGACCAATGTGTTTCCGTAAGGTTTTATTTGGATTAATTTTCTGTATACAGAGGAATCGCCATCTCCGACCATTTTGGTATATTTTAATTTATGCAGTTTTATGCTGTTTTTGAAACCTTCTGCTATGATGTCTGTCTCCATAGATGTTGATGTTCCTTGCCAATTCTTGTAACATTTGTGTATAGGGATATCTTGCCCTTTATTTTCATAATAAAAACATAATGAACAATATTTATTTCTTATACCAAGAAATAAAAGATTACCCGTTCTGTAACCTATTATACAAGCCTAAAATAAATATTCCACTCGATAAAAAAGGATAAAAAAGTTCGTAAAAATCAACAACAAAAAATATATATATTTATTATATATATATATATTCACAGATATCTCAAGAGAAATTACTTACCACACCAGACATAGAATCATAATTTACATTGTAAGAGCGTTTAGCCCAAGCGCCATCAGTAACGACTGTGATACATGGAATACCGTTCTCATCTACGTCGCCTTCTTCTAGAGCTAACTCAGCTTCTTTGGCTGCGGCATTTTCCATGCATGTACATAGTGATTCTCTGATATATCCGCCTACAGATTCATGATAACGATTAAAGGTTTTTGATGTCATAAAAGGCATATTGAGAGAAGCTGCAAGCTCATTTATTTGCGAATATCCTATCCCAGTTGAAATGGCACCCAATACCATAGCTGAATTCGAGTTTATTGTATCAGACTTTTCAACAGTAGTGATTTGCCTAATACATAAACACATTTTGCACTCGAGGATAAATGTACTGTGTAGACCATGTCTTATTTCTCGAACTAGTTTCATATCAGCTAAAGTGCAATCATACAGTGCGTGTCTCTCTGAATTTAGAATTTGGCGAAAAAGATGGGCAACATCAAATATTCTTTTTCCACCAATTGCGTCAGCTCCTACATAACTAAAATTTCATTTGAGGATAAATAATAATGTTTCGCAAATAAACATATTATGGAGTCCCCTAACTGGTGCCGCGCGTGTCAGGTCCATATTATGTAAGTACAATTCAAAGTTTTCCGTTTTTATCTTAGAGCAGGTAAAGCGCTGTCCTATGGACATGAGGAGCAGGAACGCGCCATTCTGCTATGAAACTAAAGTGAAGCCAGTTTTTAGCAGGTATTTGTACACCAAATGACAGGTAAAGCATTGAATTAGCTATACTGTCATTATTTTGGATCTCAAAATACCTGGAAAAAATGACTCCATTTCCCAACTCCATGTTCTTACTCCTTCCACCAAAGAACTTAACTGCTCTAAAGTTTTTATGCCTAATATTTTTGGAAAAAATAAATTTTATTATTTCCTTTTTTGGGGGTTTTTCAAAAATACAAAAATTAGCCCCTTGTTCAGTCTTTGCTGAAAGACTCTGAACAGAAGCATCTGATGGGTGTGGTGCCAGTTCTGGGACACCCTGTAAATGGTTTGTGTAAAAATTTGTAAATAAGTAGCCTTTGAATTTGCTATTATGTAGAAACATACCTCGAATTATCTAAGTTTACAGAGGGTTCATCTTCAATAGTTTCTTGAATTTTTGATAAATCCCATAAATTGCTAAAAAATTATACAGAAATGAAAAATAAGCTTAAGTAGGAACCTTTTCGTCCTATATTTATATACATTATTAAATATCTTTATAATACATATACAAATTATCTTTGACTAAGGCCCGGTTAATTCATCTTCGGATAAACTTGCTGGTAACTATCTGCAAGATAAATTAACCAATCTACAATGCTATTGGTCGGTGGATAACTAGCCGACCAGTGGAATTTCAGATTGCGTTTTATCCGTAAGATTGCATTATTTGACAGTTTATTGAAAGGAAAATAAACCGTCCCTAAGGGCCTAATTAGGGACTGACTGGTAAACGTCTGGTTGTTACCTAGCAGGTACTTTTTATGCACTAGAGAATAGAAAGTAGGTGCCTGCTAGGTAACAACCAGTTGGTCCATAATTTGACCCTAAAAGAAACAATTGATAGGTAAAGCTTGTCTTTTTAAGTAACAACATTTGTTTCTAATTTCTCTGTAATAAACATACCTCGAATTATTTAAGTTTACAGTAGGTCTATCTTGACTATCTTCAATAGTTTCTTGAAATTCTGATAAATCCGATAAATTGCTAAAAAATAATACACGATTGAAAAATAAGTATTAGGTAAGTAGGTACCGACCTTTTCGTCCTATACCTATTTATATGCATTATTATTTTTTTTATAAAACACAAAATACAAATTATCTTTGCCTAAGGCTCCGTTTAATTGGCTTTAGACACACTTGCTGGTTATATCTGCAGTATAAATTTACCAATCTATAATCCTATTGGTCGGCCGACCAATAGGACTAGAGATTCAGAAGGTGAATAAACCAGCTCTAAGAGAAACGATATAATGCTTGTTGTTTTTCAAATAAAAAAATCTGATATTTTTGTGACGAAGTAAATTTACCTTGTGGATTCCGCAGAATTTATCTCCATTGAGTTTTCTTTTGAATTTGATGGACCAGCATCAGTAATATTATTGTCATTGTCATTATTGTTATTGGTGCTGAAAATTTATAAAAAATATTTACCTAGGTACTTTATTGTTTATGATTTTAAAATATCATTTTACCATTGAGACAAAGTAAATTCAACACCCAAATTATTTCCGTCCTCAGAAGAAACTAATAACTGCAAATTAATTTTCCTACAGAAAATAGTTGAATAAAAATTCTGGAAATTATTACAATTAGACTACCTATATAGGTAATGTAATAATTATCTTCTACCATTTCACCTACCTTTTTTTCATAGCAAGTCGTCGATTTTTACGTTTAGTAGATAAACGTAATCTTTTCCTATCAGGCCTTAGTGAAAATTTACCCATTTTATTTCCAAAACACAAAAGGGAATGCAAAAACTCTTCGACGGCACGGGCCAGTCAAAACAATTATTCAGATAAGAATAAATAATATTTTATTCCCTGGATGGTTTCGAGGCGCCAGCCGGGGGTTGGCGGGACAGTTCCCAGTGTTGCCATGCCATAGAATATGTAGTTGCGATTAATGAATTGGTCCGAAATAATACATTTTTTTTATTTTTATGTTTCACAAGAAATTTACGCGTTTAACAAAAAAATTATATTGGTAAAAAATGTTAGTATTTTAACATAGAAATGTGAGAAGTATTTTATATTCCAATCTTTTTTTTTTGAGAGGTGACATAATTTTTAGAATTATTTTTTTCTATGAAAAATCACATTCCACTTTTCTGTGATTCATCATCTATCATCCCACCAAATTTCATTGATTTTGATCCAATACTTTAGACGTAAATTAAGACATAGTTTAACCCGTCGCACAGAGGTACCCAGGCCTCTTAAGAAAGGGTTAAATTACATGAGGAGGTCGAAAAAGTGTGCCAAACTTTAAAATAAAGGTACCCGTTTTTTTTTTTTTTTTCTAGCAAGTAAACAGGCTTTCTAATAGGTACTGAATTTATTCTATTCAAAAATTCCACCCCGTATACCTGAGTGAATTTTTTGTTTTTCCTATTTAAATTGTTGGACATCGTCTTTATTTAATCTGAATCTGTCTAGTCGGTGGTCTCTTAGCTGACACCAAATTGAATTTTTTCGACTGGCAATAGACAGGTGTAAGGATGTTCAAAAATCAAAAAACAGAATCATCTGGAAAAGCCTAGGCATTCTAGATTTAATACACAGTACACAACACTAGGAACAAATTTATTAATTTATTTTTAGAATGTTTAAATCTTATATGGTTCTCATGAATTTAACATTTAATTTATCTATCCATTAACAATGCCCCGAAGTAGAAAAATGAACCTCTTTTGAAAAATCCTCATTTCCTAGCGAAGGCAAAAAGTTGCCAGGAATGGCAACACGCGTTCTGCCGACTTTCGGGCGCCAGCTGAACGCAATCTTTTCGCTTACCACTTGACTTGTTCAATGTTAAATGCAACGTTACAGTTAAATATGAATAGTTATTTTTGTATCTAGTGCGCGAAATGCTACTTTGGTGATCGAGAACTGATTTAGTAAAAATAGTCGGGATCACCAAAGTATTTCGCGCACGAGTTGCAAACAATATTTTTTTTACAACTTCATTCAAATATCGATCATTCGAAGCTAAAATTGCATTTACAATCAAAGGCAGGCGAATTTTAATTATTTTTGGCATTTCGCACAGTGGAGAAGCATTTCGCACACGGCGTCATGGGAACGTTAAAAAATCCATACCTGGGAAAAAAAGTGTCACTTCGAAAATTGTCATCAGTGTGCAAACATCATTTTTTTTTTTGACAGTTGTAGAAAATAGTTATTTTCCTAACAAGTGCGCAAAGTGATACTTTCCCGCACGAAAAAGCAGCTAGACGAACGACGCGAAGCGGAGTTCGGATAAGCTTTAAGTGCGGGAAAGACACTTTGCGCAAGTGGTGGGAACAATATTTTTTCTACGGAGTGTCTTAGAAGTTGTGAATTAACTATAGAGCATTGTTTTACATACTTTCAGAAAAAAGGGAAATCAGTTACATACAAATTCAAACTCAAATTCACAAATTCTTCACAGCATTCTTCAAAAAAATATAAATATTTTAAAAAAAATTGGCATAGCTTTAACCAAAAAGAACTAGTATTTTAATTTTTTCCATTACCGTAACAGACTTTTCCTATTCATAAAATGGGAAATTTAGATTTTGAGGAGTGAGTGAAGAGTTTCCGTGCGCAAAGAGTTTCAGTGCGCAAAGTGCAATGAGTGTGCAAAGTTATTAGGTACTTTGCGCGTAGAAAAATAAATTTTGTGTTGTGTTACACTTCCTCTCTCGATTTGGTTCTTTTTCCACGACGCGTATACATTTTTACTTTATAGGTGTTGCAAACTTCATCGTTCCATTTTTTTCTCTATTAATTACTTACGTATTCAAAATAATCTATGCATTTCCATTTCTATTTACGAATGATTTACCAAACTCGATTGGTAGTTTTTTTAGGAAATAATTATGTAACAGTGAAGTAAGCGTGCTGATATGATGGGCGTTGTCGGCATGCGGCTGAAGTTAGCAACGGCATCAGAAACAAAAATCATGTTTTTACAGTCGTCCAGATAAGTAGTGCAGCATATAAAAATTATTTTATAATTTAGCACTGCCGATGCTTTGTTTTCATTGACATATCAAAAAATGATGTGTTGAGTCCAGGGCGGGGATGAAGGGAGTAAATTCAACCCTCAAAATTCAAAGCAAAGTCTAACTTCTATAAAAAAATTTTGTTACACCATCAAACTCGGTGAAAAAATTACAAGCATTAGCCGTATCCCGGTCACAGAGCTTCGGAGTCGCGCGCATCCTCTTCACTTCTTTGTTTGTCAGTTCCAGCAGCTGATTATTTGTTCTTGTTTATGTTTAAAGCTTGATATCGTAATCTTTATGTTGAGCTTCAAAAATAATTACACAAAAGTTGAGAGGTGTTGGCACGTTGGCAGTCCAAATGTTCTAACCATTAACTTCTTTGCTTGTATTGTTATGCTAGTTATGATATTGGTGTAACTCTTCATATCTTCCTTTCCACTAGGAGATTTTTTCATCTATAAACATTAAAGGGATCAGGAACTGGATCCAATTTTACAAACAACAAACAAAACAAGATCCGCGAGTAGTGAAACTACATATTTTATATAAATCCGCAAGTGGCAGACGTTTACTTTATTTTTTAAAGGTCGGCGATTGGCGCACGGAATATCTCCACTAGATTCAAGATTGGTCAATTGATAATATAAACTCTTTATCACAGATTCTCTATATGTTCAATTTGGAATAGGCCTTGAGGCCTTCTAGATAGAAAATGCAGACTTACCCAAAATAACCGACCTTCTAGTGTTACCTATGTCTTTGTAAATTAGCATTTTATGTAAAAAACCAAGCGCTAAATTAACTTGTTTTTTTTTATTATAAAATAGTAACTTATGAGGACTAGATTCCACTAGATGGACAGGTTAGTTTGGGTTAGTCTGCGTTTTCTGTCTAAAAAAAAGAAGCTATTCGTGCAAAAAAAAATTGAATCAAAAACACTAAAATTTAAAAAATCCGAAATTAGGGTTTTCAAAAAATGAACATGAACCGTAAAACCTGAATTTTATTTTTTCAAAGGGCAGGGCAGAAAGTACATATTTTCAGATTACGATAATATAATTTGGGGCCTAAAACTTAAGAAAAAATAAACAAATAATCAGCTGATTGGTGATCATCTGTAGAACGCTGGCTAGAACTGATAATGTGATGCGCGCGACTCCGAAGCCCTGTGACCGGAATACGGTCAATGTTTTGTGAAAAAATTATTCGGGATATTCTATTCAACATATCCAAAGATAAGGTGTCTAGGGCGGGGATGAAGGGGTAAACTCAACCCTCAAAATTGATAAAAAAGTCTAACTTCTATAAAATGTTGTTACATCACAAAACTCGGTGGAAAAATTGTTTGGGATATTCTATTTAACGCTTCCAAAGATGAAGTGTCGAGAGCGGAGATGAAGGGGATAAATTCAACTCTCAAAATAGAAAGCAAAGTCTTGTATAAAAATTTTTGTTACACCACCAAACTAGGTGGAAAAGTTGTTTGGGATATTCTATTCAACATATCCAAAGATGAAGTGTCCAGTGCGGGGATGAAGGAGGTAAAATCAAATCAAAATTGAAAGTAAAGTCTAACTTCTATAAAAAAATTTTGTTACACCACCAATCTCGGTGGAAAAATCGGAAATCGGTTGGGATATTCTATTTAACATATCCAAAGATGAAGTGTCCAGGGCGAGGATCAAGAGGGTAAATTCAAACCTCAAAATTGAAAAAAAAAATCTAACTTCTATAAAAAATGTTGTTACACCACCAAACTCGGTGGAAACATTGGTTGGGATATTCTATTTAACATATCCAAAGATGAAATGTCCAGGGCGGGGATGGAGGGAGTAAATTCAACCCCTCAAAATAGTGGTGGTGTAACAAAATCTTTTAAAGAAGTTAGATTTTTTTTTTCAATTTTGAGGGTTGATTTTACCCCCATCATTCCCGCCCTGGACAGTTAATCTTTGGATATGTTAAAAAGAATATCCTAAAGAATTTTTCCACCGTGTTTGGTGGTGTAACAAAAATTTTTATACAAGACTTTGCTTTCTATTTTGAGAGTTGAATTTATCCCCTTCATCCCCGCTCTCGACACTTCATCTTTGAAAGCGTTAAATAGAATATCCCAAACAATTTTTCCACCGAGTTTTGTGATGGAACGAACATTTTTATGGAGATTAGTCTTTTTTCTTAATTTTGAGGGTTGAATTTACCCCCTTCATCCTGACCTGGACACTTCATCTTTAGATATGTTAAATAGAATATCCCAAATAATTTTTCCACCGAGTTTAGTGTTGTAACGGAAATGTTTATAGAATTTAGACATTTTTCTCAATTTTGATGGTTGAATTTACCTCCTTCATCCCCGCCGTGGACACTTCATCTTTGGATATGTTAAATAGAATAGCCCAACCAATGTTTCCACCGAGTTTGGTGGTGTAATAAATTTTTTTTATAGAAGTTAGACTCTTTTCTCGATTTTGAGGGTTGAATTTACCCCCTTCATCCCCGCCCTGGACCCTTCATCTTTGGATATGTTGAATAGAATATCCCAACCAATGTTTCCCAAGTTTGGTGGTGTAATAAAAATTTTCATAGAAGTTAGATTTTTTTTTTCAATTTTGGGGGTTGAATTTACCCCTTTATCTCCGTCTTGGACACTTCATCTTTGGATATGTTAAATAGAATATACCAAACAATTTTTCCACCGAGTTTGGTGGTGTAATAAATTTTTTTATAGAAGTTAGATTTTTTTTTTTTTCAATTTTGAGTGTTAAATTTACCCCCTTGATCCTTGATCTCCGCCCTGGACACTTCATCTTTGGATATGTTAAATAGAATATCCCAATCAATGTTTCCACCGGGTTTGGTGGTGTAACAAAATTTTTTATAGAAGTTAGATTTTTTTTTCAATTTTGAGCATTGAATTTACCCTTCATCCCCGACCTGGACACTAGAGTCTAGCCGTCACAGCCGGAGCAAACCCGATAATAGCCGAACAGCGAACTCTGGTGCATAGAAAATCGAGAACAGAATTTTTAATCGTTATTTCTATCGTGTCTTTAACCATTCTCATTTTTATCAAAACAAAATTACAGGTCCATTTTATAAGAAATAATTATTTGTTAAAATATTTCATTTTTTGTAGTTCGGATTTAGTCTTTTTTTATGGTTTATTTTTGTCCTACTTATATTTTATTATTTCTAGAGAGGTGTCAGCCGGCGAATTATCGCGTTCAAATATTTCGGATGATCTAGAAAAAAAAATCGATTCAATCTTAATGAACGTTAATAATGTGGACAGTTATAGGGTGCTAGGGCGGTAGAACAGACTGCCTATAAACCCAGTATTGAGCACTTCAAAACGAAAACAAAATGAACTACTCATCCGAACTACTCCCCTTAGTTACAAATAAGCGAAAAAAGGTACCAATTACTCCACAGAGGAAATGATTAATATTGATTTTAAGTTTATTTTTGCTGTTGGGTTCCTCCTGATTTCCAATTTGAGAGGGCTCTAATTAAATATCAACATTTTTTGTTTTTTTTTTAGCAATGTATTAAAGTACTTCAGTCAACAATCTTTTGCTTTCTTCGAATTCAATGCGCTCGGCTCGGCTTTCGGCTACAATCGCAGTTGCTCCACATGTGATGGCTAGACTCTAGTGACCTGGACACACCATCTTTGGATATGTTAAATAGAATATCCCAAATAATTTTTCCACCGAGTTTGGTGGTGTAACAAATTTTTTTATAGAAGTAAGAATTTTTTCTCAATTTGGAGGGTTGAATTTACCCCTTCATCTCCGCCCTGGACACATTATCTTCAGATATGTTAAATAGAATATCCCGAACAATTTTTCTCCCGAGTTTGGTGGTGTAACAAAAATTTTTATAGAAGTTAGATTTTTTTTTTCAACTTTCAGGGTTGAAATTAGCCCCTTGATTCCCGACCTGGACACTTCGTCTTTGGATATGTTGAATAGAATATCCCAACCAATGTTTCCACCGAGTTTCGTGGTGTAACAAAATTTTTTATAGAAGCTGGATTTTTTTTCAATTTTGAGGGTTGAATTTAGCCCCTTCATCCTCGACCTTGACACTTCATCTTTGGATATTGTTGTGGTCCTTTGTAGGGAAACTTCGTTTGTTGACTTTAATTCTATATTTCAAATACAGTACTTAAACCTATTCGAGGAAACGTGAATGTACTAACTACTTTGCTCTTCTAATAATGCCCTATTTATGTCCCGAATTACCTACTTAATATCCTATAAAAATGTTAGAGATTAATAATTATGTTTACCGCATTAAGTAGTAATTATTTTAAGAAGACTAAAATTTAATGTTGTTTTTGTTTAAGGGTTTCTGAAAGAAGGCAAATAAATAGAATAGATAGAGAGTGAACTTTGAAATCAGTGGAAAAATACCTAAAAAATAACTGAAAATGGACTGGTACATAACAATATGTTGAATAAAATATCCCAACTAATGTTTTCACCGAGTTTGGTGTTTTTATAGAAATTAGACTTTGCTTTCAATTTTGAGGATTGAATTTAACCCCTTCATCCTCGCCCTAAATACTCCATGTTTGGATATGTTAAATAGAATATCTGACACAATTTTTACACCTAGTTTAATGGTGTAACAAAAAATTTTATAGTACTTTTTTCTCAATTTTGAAGGTTCAATTTACCATCCCCGAGCTGGACAATTCATCTTTGGATATGTTAAATAGAATATCCCAAACAATTTTTCCACCGATTTTGGTGGAATAACAACTTTTTTTATAGAAGTTAGACTTTGCTTTCAATTTTGAGGGTTGAATTTACCCCCTTCATCCCCACCCTGGGCATTTCATCTTTGGATATGTTGAATAGAATATCCCACCAATGTTTCCATTGTGTGTTTTAATTCGTGTTTAAAGGAGTTAGATCACTTTCCCATTAACCAGAACCATTACAACATATTTAGAATCTAATTCTAAATTCTTCGAAACCATAACCGTTGGTACCTATTGGTATATTATACCAATAGGTACCAACGGCGCCCGCAGAATTTGTCACAGGGGGGGCAAATAAACTGCTCTTGGGGGAATCGTGGAAAGCGCACCGCAGGCGGAATTTTTTTTTTGGGCCACACCCAAATTTTGCTAATTGTAACTAATATAATAAACATTAAAAAATAAAACAATTTGGAAATACTTTTATTTCGGACGGAAAAAAAAGTTAATTCTCTGTATCTTTTGATAGGTGCACAAATTACTTTTCCTTGTGGGAAAAAAATTAAAAAAAATGTAATCAAAACTAAAACAACACAACGTAAATGAAATATTCCAAATTAAAAGAAATACATTTTTCCGACTAGGTAAATGCAAATTGCAATCTTCTTGAGTCTCTCCCAAACCTATTAATAACTTCTTCATAATAGTTATTTATGCAACAAGTGTGTAAAGTGAACCTTTTTTCACAAATGTGAAGTTTGACGCACGAGCCGAAGGTGAGTGCGACAATCACATGAGTGAAAAAAGGTGCTTTACACACGTATTGCATACAACATTTTTTCTACTACCAATAAAATATGTGTAAAAAAGTAATTTTGGGTAAATACTTTACGCACTAGTGCGTGAAGTATTTTCACTTTACGCACTAGTGCGTGAAGTAATTTACCAGAAAAATACCAAATTGACAGTTGTCGACATCTGCCATTGACATTACCTTACGCACTAGTGTGTGAAGTGAATTACTTTACACATTAGTGCGTGAAGTGAAATTTTACGTCTTCTGAACAGTGTGTAAAGTGAGTACTTTACGCACGGTAGTAGAAAAAAATCTTTATTACCCAATTCATTCATCAATGATCGATGAATTCAAATTAAAAAAAATAAAAATGGAAATACCTAATTATTTTTTTTTTTCTCTTTTATTTTTAAGTATTTATATTAAAAGCCAGGGGGGGCAGATGACCCCCCCCTGCCCCCCCCGCCGGGCGCCCATGATAGGTACCTACTAATAAAACTACTGGTTCCCATAACGATTATAACAAAACTACCCAATCAATTTTTTTTATCAAAAAAGACGAAAATATCTTTAAATTTGATAAATCCGCAAATTCTACGACGAGAACAAGAATAAACTTAGCTGTTGCACAAACTGTGGCTGATCACTTAATACGCAAATTGTCAACGAAATCTAAGAAGAATGCGACAGAAAATAAATCCCACATAACTCTTGCTTGAATATCATACCTGTTATGTACCATAATCTTTAATCAATCCAGTAAAATCAGATAAACTGTGCATAAAAATCAAATCATATTTCAAAGAATCCAAAGGGGCAATATTTGATGTTTTTGCTGTTTACCGTTTAGTTGCCGCATTTGCATTATGCTGCATGAAATAAGATACAATATAACTCGGACGTGCGATACTGTTGTATTGTACTAAAATCTGTACATTTTAAATTCTTGTATCTGGTATCTGTTCGTCTTTGGCGACTTCACGTTCACATTGAACAACATCGGATTTGGTTCAATTAATATAGCATAGTAGTTTAAAAAGTTTTCATGGCAGACTGGCCCTTATAATATCAATAAAAATGGGGAACGTAAATTTCTGCGAAGATAAAAATAAATAACTCGTCTTCCACTCGCGATATCTTTGACTATTTTCTTGATTTCGAGCAAATTCCTTGAAGCTTGTAATGTTCATTTCACGAAGGTTTGTACTTATGACATAACCATGTCATAACTTGGAAAAAAAAGGTTTATCTACGACTATTAAATAATAGACGCAATATACTTGTGATAGAAACCACATATTAGATGCTTTTTTTCTGCACATTGTCTTACCTGATATAATTTATTAATTGTAAAACTATTTATTGTTCGCTTTTATTTTGGTATGTGTAATTACTTTACCATTAAGTGTTGGTCAATGTTATCAATAAGACTTCTTATATTTTCACGCCACTTTTGGTTTGCATCTAAATTCTTGTATCGAAAGGAAAAGTACTGGCTACGCCCATAATAAAATATGAAAGGGTATTTGGTTTTGAAAAAGGGCTGTGAGAGTTTCGTTTTTAAGCGACCACTGAAAAAGCAAAAGATAATACAGTTATGAATCAACCTTTTCTTTATTGTGTTTTCTTACATACCTTAGCTAACTTTGAAAATCTTAGCTGAGCTAAGTTGTAGTTCAAACGTACACATTAGGTGGATAAAGGATCTTGCCTTCAATAAATATAACCTCAATTAAGAAATTGAACTAAGGATGGAATCCGGTATCCTTGGCGTAGGAAAGAGGGGTGGTAATTTCGACTGACATAAACTCTCCTAAGATGTTAGAAAAAACAGTCCGTTATTTCAGAACAACTCAGGTTAGCTAAGATAGGTCTTAGAAAAAAAGCAGCTAATTTAACTCATATTATACACCTGTGGAATATGAATCTCATTTTCCACACCTGTGCAATATAAGTTTTTATACTTATTCCATGAGAGCATTGACAGCCTTATAAAATAGAATCGAGCTTGTTTGGATCGTTGTTACTAGGGCAACTAAAATATTTGACTTTGACAAAATAAGTATATTAGACTTTTCAGTAATTTTGTAGTTTTCAGTTGAGTCAAGTGTTTCTCATGCATTTC